TTATGAAATATTATACCACGAGTATATAATAAAATAATTTATTTTAAAATACATAGTATATTCCTTTTTCTTTGCTTGTAAATGTACTATCTTTTGGAAAAACATTAATTTCGTAAATGTATGAAATCATACTTTGTTAACTTTCAGATAAATATGTTTTAAATATTGTTATTAAAAAAAGTGAAATTGATTACATTGTTTACATTGCATTTGAAGTTGACGCTAATTCATTTCGAAAGTTGAATTACAAATTTGTTTTTCAAGTTGGATGGATAACCAGTATATTTTTTCTCAGCGATATGCAATATTTATAAGGATGACCATAATCACACGTTCTATATTGGAGCAGTTATATGCAATTATGTTAATATGATTACTTAAAACCATCTATGTCTAATGTGCCTTTAAATAACGTCTAGAATTTGAGTGTACACGTGATCACTCCGTTTTATTTAGAATGGATGAAATTATTCACGATGTGACAAATGATACCACTCATCATGAAGATAGATTTTAGAAGATACTGTAATCTTTATTTTGTTTTAAAATTTATTTCATTATTTCTGTAGTGATTTTTCTTTTTTATTGTTAACTATGTCGCAATATATTGCCACTTCGCAGATAAATAAGTAAAGAAAAGAAAATAAAAATATTGTAACGCCCCGATTCTCAGGTATTGATTTAATGTGTGAGTTATTTGATTTCAAGGGCTACTCGACGAGTTGATTGCCCTACTCGTCGAGTAGCAGCGGGTTGGTCCGTGTATTTTAATGACCTACTCGTCGAGTCCAAGAAGGGACTCGACGAGTAGGAGCTGGCAGATGAAACCCTAAATCTCAGGGTTTTGCACCCTATTTAAAGGATCATTGGCCTCCCCCCATCCTCCCCTTTTACTGTTTCTTGTCCCTCTCAAACCCTAATCGAGTGTGTGTGTTCCATTTGTGTATTTTGAGCTTGAAAGAGGATTTTATGGAGAAGGGAGCTTGGAGAGCAAGTATTCAGAAGCAAGGAGCTTGTGGGATCTGAAATCTACCTTATTGGGCATCTTCTGGAAGGTATAATCGTTACCCTGACCTCATTTCATTCTAGATCCCCTCTTTGGACAAATTCTAGGGTTTTCATGGTATGATTGGAAGCTATTCTTGTGTGCAAACTCAGATCTGAAGTTGTAACTTCAGAATTGAGCTCCCTTGGGCTTCTTAGTCCATAAAGTTTTCAGCTTGTGCAAGAATGAGACTCTCCCAAGGTGCAAAGCTCCATTGGAAGCTTAGATTGGTCATTTAGGGCCTTTAGAGCCTTGCATGTGCGTAAAGTTTGCAACTTTACGTGATAAACATGTCTTAGAAGCTTGGATCTGTAATCTGGAACCTTGCCATGGCTTAAAAAGCATCTGCATGGATGAAGGTCTACAAGGACTCGGCGAGTTGGATGAACAACTCGGCGAGCCCGTTGAAGATGGCCATGAACTCGACGAGTTGGATGAACAACTCGGCGAGTCCATTGAAGATTGCCTTGAACTCGGCGAGTCGTTCGAAGACTCGGCGAGTCGGCTAGGGTTTCTCCCAATTCTTGGACACGTATGAACTCGACGAGTTAAAGGGAAACTCGACGAGCCAATCAAGGATTTCACGACTTCTCGAGCTCAGGAAGGACTTGACGAGTCGGTGAACTGCACTCGACGAGTCGAGTCGACATGGAATGTTGACTTTGACTGTGGACTTTGACTTGGACCAAGGGTTGACCAGTTGACTTCTGAGGGAATTCTGGTAATTTGGAGATTTATGAAAAGGGTTTTATGGTAACTATAGGTGGTGGAATTCGTGTTGGTGATCCGGGAGTTGAGCTTTCTAGTTTCAGACGTTAGTTGCAAGGTGAGTTATCTTCACAATACTAAGGGGTCTAAGGCACCAAGGCCAGCCCATTGGATATGTTATCCTAGCAGTGTTAGATGTTGAGTATGAGTTAGTGTTGCATGATAGTGGTTATGCCAGTTAGGTAGACATGTAGGACTACCTGTGATGTTATATGATTATTGCATGCTCAGTGGTTATGTTATGTGTTTCTTATATGGGATGGGTTGAGGTTGTACTGCTTCGTGCGGTAGCCAACAAACCCTAGGAGCATTCCAGTTCGGGCTAAGGGGGACTCGTACTGTAGGCTCGGGAGCATTCCAGTTACGGGCTGAGGGAGACTTGTACTGTGGGCTCGTGGGTATTACAGTCTGTAGGGCTGTGGACCCGTTATGTGATGTTCTGTTCAGTTTGTTATGATATGTTATTACTGCCATGGTTAAGTGGACTGTATGTGTATCGGTATTTTGGGGGTAACTCACTAAGCTTTCGGGCTTACAGTTTCAGTTTATTGTTTCAGGTACATTAGGGGATCGCGGCAAGGCGAAGGCATGATCATACAGCTTCTCATATTATGTTTATGTTTCTGGGAATACTCTGATAAATAAATATTTTGAAAACAAAGTTGTAATGTTTCGATGAACTTGACATGTTTTAAAAGTTTAAATTGGTTTGAAATTTTGAGTGTTACAAATATATTAGAAACAAGTAAAGTAATTGTCATCCTATTAATAGATGATCTCATTTAAGAAGTGAGACATGACATATTCATGGATTTTCATATGAGGATAAAGCTCTAAATGTATGGGATAAAATTAATAATGGTTTTGATGAAAATTTGTACCTAACCTCATTGCCTAAGCATTTTCCAGGTTGACCAAATGGTGTATGGCTAAAAGACATCTTCAGAGTTGTAGAATAAAAAAATCACACATGTGTTTGTGTGTTTATTGGATATTCTCGATCTTATTGGTGAAAGGATGAAAGAAAGAAAAACATTTGTGAGGACACTCTTAAATGAATGAAGATGCTTTATCTTTTGTTATTTTAAGTAAATATTGATTTGTAACATAAGAAGTTGATGATGTTATCAAATTATATTTTGGGATATTTATTATATGCATGTTTAGTTATAAATACAAACAACAAAAAAGATGTTAGATGTCTTAGATTTCACGTGTTGGGAGAGGGATATGGAGGGAAGGATGTGGGGGAGAGGAAGGGGACAAGGAGAAGGAGAAGGAGATGGAGATAGAGAGATGAAGAGAGGGAGATAGAGAGAGCTTGTCAGATTTTAATGCCTTCTGGAGTATTTTTCATAGTCCACTGCTATTTTTGAAGGGTTGCAAGTGTGCATTGATATATACAAAGTATAAAGTGATTGTTGCTTATATATTTTATTGTTAATTGTGGTTGTTGCTTTATTATCCGTTTTTATCCAAAGAAGACTGGGTGTCATCTTTACTCTATAAAATACATTGTAATACTTTGAGATGTTAAATCTCTCTCAAATGGATTGCTTCAACACCATCAATATATATTATAAAAATGTTTTGATTGTATCCATTTGTGTTTACTATTAAAGTATTTACATACAATAGAATGTGACAGCTGCTTATTAATTGTACATATAAACTATTGTTTACATACATACCTTGTATGGAGCAACCACATTACTCTTAGATATTATAATACCATATTGTGTAACATATTCATATATTTTTAATAAAAACAACAATATACTTATATTTTTTAACCGTAAGAACATACTAGTTATTCAAAAATTGAATATAGGTTGTCAAAATGAAACTAATCGTCGCCGCTGCAACAAACATTCATATATATATATATATATATATATATATATATATATATATTATATATATATATATATATATATATATATATATATATATATAAGACTGTTTTGCACGTTAGAGTTAGCTTTTAAGGTAGTTTGTATTTTGAAAAAATTTAGGTTGTTATGTTTGTAAAATAAAAAAAATAATTACTCAGACCAGCGTTACAACAAACTTATTATGTTTTTTTGTTAAATTCTTTTAAACATATCATTTAGGTGTTGTTTGTTTTTCTTAAAAAACCTCTTCAAAACTCTTATTGCTGCGCGGCGCAGCACACGCGCAACACTTTTTGTCCCGCAGCAGTTTGTTTTTCGGAAGTCTTCGGAGCTTAAAACCTCTGCCCGTGTGCTTCTTGGGGAAGCACTTGTTGTACCTCTTCCCACCCCTTCAAACCTAAACCTAAAAAAATCTAATCCCAAAAAACAATCGACTCTTTTTTTCCCAAAAATCTAACAATGACGTGTGTTGTTTTTTAAATAAGTGTCCATGAAATATATTTAATATTATGTTTATGGTCCTTTACTTATATACTATATTCTATTTTCATCCCTTTAACATTTAATACATTAAATTTATATCCCTTTAACTGTTTTCTCCCATTTAATTTACATACGTTAATTCATTTTAATGTTGTTTTTTAAATTAGTTTTTTTTAATTTTTAATGTCTGCAGCAGTCTGCAGATGTTAACAAAAACAAACACGCTTCTTATTACAGTCTGCAGCCGTTTGATCCACCTCTTCTGCTGCAGAGGTTTGCAGAGGTGGTCCGCATACTTTTTGAATTTTTGTTTCGGAAAAACAAACAACACCTTACTTACTATAGAAACAAAAAATAAAAGATTAAATTATATTTTATGTCATTTTACATATTAAAATAGTTTATCAGCTAGTTTAACAAGTATTACTTTTTTACCATCTAATAGCTAGCTAGTCTTTTTGGTATAAGAGAAAATTATTTAAATACATTATTAGTTTATGAAATATAGCAGGTATGAATAAAACATTCATTCTATTGGTCGTATATATAATTTGTTTTTTTATTATCTAAATGTTAGGACATTTACAATACATTGATATTTATAAAGTTTAATAGATTGTCGTATTATTATTCTATATTTCATACAATTTTATAAGTTTCCTGCATTGTACTAAACTTTATAAAGTTCAGTGGAACATTATCAAAATTAAATTATAAAGGTCGATATCAGTAACCACATCCTCCCTCCATTTAAAGGATATAGTGTTTGTTGTTGAAAACCAATTAAACATTTTCTATTTTTATCAACTAAAAAAAAAAGAGAAAGAGAGACGAGGAAAAACAAGAACAAGAACCCATATTCAACATCCTCATTTTTTTTCTCAAATTCTAAATAAATATATTATAACATTTTGATTTTGGTTTAAATTTCCATAGAATATATATACAAAGATTAGGGTTTTGATGAGTACATTCGAAAGCTGGAGAAGAGCCTATGGAGCTCTCAAAGATTCCACCACCGTTGGCCTTGCAAAAGTCGGCAGCGATTTCAAGGTTCTTCCATTCATCCATTTAAACCACCCTTTTTCAATCCAAGTATAATTCTTTTTCTCAATTTTCAACTTTCAATTGAAGGATCTTGATATCGCCATTGTTAAAGCTACCAATCATGACGAAGGCCCTCCAAAAGACCTCCACGTTAGAAGTAAGCTTTTTATTTCTTTCCTTCTAATTCTCAGTTTTCTTCAGGAATTTTTTAAATTAAAAATTCTTTTGTTTTGCATGCATGTTAGGGATTATCGTTTCAACATCTTCTGCTGCACCACGAGCAGACGTCGGATATTGCATTCATACACTTTCCAGGAGATTGATGAAAACGAAGAACTGGATCGTAACGTCTTCTTTTTCTTTAATCTCATGTTGTCCCCGTTTCATGTTTCAAAGCAATCCCATTTTCGATTTTCCGCTCATTTCATTTGCAGGTTGCAATGAAGACATTAATGGTGTTTCACAGGATTTTACGGGAGGGTGATCCTAGTTTTAGAGAAGAGTTGCTAACTCATTCTCGTCGGCGACACATTTTCCAAATTCAAGATTTCAGAGATGATTCGAGCCAGCTTGGTAAACAACAAAGATATCAGCTTTATCCATTCTATCTATATTTGATTTAATCGTCTTATAAGCATCGCGTTTTCTGACACGTTTCAATTCCCGAAAAGCTTGGGATTGTTCTTCATGGCTTCGAATGTATGCCACATTTCTTGAAGAACGATTAGAGTGTTACAGAATCGTGGGATTCGACATTGAAACCGAGCGTTTAACAACAGCTCCAGGAATCAACAAGGTTTGTCGGCGTTTGTTACGTTCACAAAAACCTCTACAAAATGGGCGTAATTAATCTCGAGTAATATTTATGACTTACCACAGGCATATAGTAGAACACGACTCATGAACATTGACGAACTACTCGAACAGCTACCTGCAATGCAACAACTTCTCTATCGTCTCTTCTCTTGCCAGGTGAATGATTGATAAACGTTAAAAAAAGCGATCAAAATTCGAATCATGATACTTTTTACTAATTATAAAGAAATTACCCAATTTTCCTTTTTTTTTGTAGCCTGAAGGAGCAGCTTATCATAACCATCTTATACCACATGCATTAGCTCTTGTAATCAAAGAAAGCTTGAAAATCTACTGTGTAATCAATGACGGCATAATCAGACTCGTCGAATTGGTACCCAATTCTTTATTAGTGCAGAGCATTTGATTGAGTTCATATATCCATTTATTGGTAATTAATTAACAATATTTAATATCAACCAGTTCTTTGACCTGGGGAAAGACGAAGCTATTGCCGCTATAAACATTTACAAGAGATCTGTAAAACAGGTTGAGCGTCTTTATTTCTTACCCTAATTCTCCTATAGTTGATTGTTGAAAAATCTTTCCATGAATCAGACCGAACAACTTGGGGAGTTCTACAATCTGGGTAAACATATGCGTCTTTCAATGAACATCCAGTTTCCAACATTGACTCAGGTTTGATTTTTGTGAATCGGATATTTGTAAACTATGAACCCGATTCTGATTACATGTTTTAAAAATTTCAGCCGCCACCTTCGTTTCTTGCTACAATGGAGGAATATGTGAAAGGAATTTCTTCGAATGGTTCTGATTCGGATAAGAAACTGGTGAGACTTTATCGTGATCTTTTCGGTTAACATATATTCAAATAAATCGAGAATGAATTCTATTTGTTTCTTTATTTGATCTAAAACTGAAGGAGCATGATCAAGATGTCGCAGAAGAAACCATGGAACTTGCAACTCAAGAAATCCAAGAAATTGAAAACGCAGAGGTACTGCAAGATCAAGAACCAGAACTGAAGCATATACAGAAGGTAGAGGAGGAAGTTCTACCACTCATAGTCATTGATGATGATGATCCTCCAGTGAGTACTCTACTCAGGCTCTCGATTTGAAACGACCCATTTTGCAACGGATGCATCATGCATGCATGATCATATTATAAGTTGTTCTCGCACTAATGTCTACATTTGTTGTAGGGTTTGGATGAAGCAAATCCAAAAAAGGTAGAAATAGAGGATAACGACGCGTCGATATTGGCTCTTTCCATTGTTCAACCTGGTATACCATCAGATCTAACATGTTCTAAAACCGAAAACACCACAAGCTGCTGGGAGCTTGCGCTCGTGCCCTCAACAAGTAATTACCCTAATAACACCAGTCCCATATCACATACCAAAATGGTTAGTGATCGATGGTTTCTCTTAATGGATAATTTGTCATTGTTTCAAGACTCATAGTCATCTGATTTCACTCACAGGGTGGTGGTTTCGATAAGCTGCTATTGTACAGATTATATGAAGACGACATGGCTAAGAAGCAAATACAAACAGGTTGTAACCCTGGTTATCAATATGGCATGCAACACGAATCATTTCAACACCACCATCCTCTACCACAACAAGACCAGATGATGGTCCTGATGCAACAACAACAATATAACATGAACCAGGTGTCATACCAACAACAATATCAAGAGCAATATCACCAACAATGTTATCAACAACGACAACATAATAACATCTTTGTTCCATATAATCATCAACAATCGCAACCGTCGAATCAGTCTGCACAACAATCGATGCCGAATCAGAGACCGAACCCATTTGGAGATGGACTCGACTGTCCACAGGGGAATCGTGCATTGATATAAACTCAACATGTTTAATGTCCATCGATCCATGCATGTTTTATCATCACTACCAAAATGCAACTATATGTATATATGCATGGTAAATGACTCTCGTCGTCATAATCTTAAAATGTAACTATATGTAGATATGTATATAACTTTTGTTGGTTAATTATGTATCTTTTGTTTCATATCCCTATTTACACTAGTAAAGAAATGTTTTTTTTATGCGGTTAAAATAATTATTTGATGCAGTTATTGAACCGCACTAACAAATATCGTATCAAAAAATATCCTTATTTAATGGTGTGGTTATAAAACGGCATCAAAAAATCACTACTAGAAAACAAGGGGTTTTGCTATAGAAAAATAGCTACGCAAAATTTCTGTAGGTAATAACCTACAGAATGGGATGTCCTAATTTAGGAACTGAATAGCAATGGACGTAAATCCGTAGGTATTTCGTTGGCAATTAGCCACAGAATAACTACGGAATACCGACGTAACTAAATATGTAGGTATTCCATAGGTAAATAGTTACAGAATCGCTACGGACTACCAACGGAAGAAAATAACTACAGAATAGCTACGGAATACCTATAAATTTATAATTTTATTGTTGTTATTGTTATTATTATTATTATTCATTATTTAAGTCTTAAAACCTTTTTTTGGATCGTTTTATTTTTACATATTTAAAACACAAACAATTAAAAATCATACTAATAATAATATATATTATCATGTATTTGTTTATGATGATAATTGTCGGTTCAGAACAAATATATATATGTTTTTGTATATTATATATATAATATATTTTTGTGTGTATATATATATATATATATATATATATATATATATATATATATATAGATATATATATATATATATATATATATATATATTATACAAACCTTACTATTTCTAAAAATAATTTAAGACGTTCAAACGATTAAGCTAATAGTACAAGTATCACAACTAAAATAGGATTAAATTTTAACCCACATTTTGAATTCATATATTTCCCAACAAATCTTATCTCCTTCCCTAAATTCCAACTTTATTCAAAATTTTAAATTTTGAAATAATCCAAACCTACAAGTTAAAAGTACAACTAATCCATGCATATACTTTTTTACCCGGTAAAGGAATTTTGACCCACCTTTTAATCCCTTGAGTGAGTCAACTGAAGCCAAGATTTAAAGGATTCGGTATTTTGTAGTTCAATACCCAACTCCTGTTCTTTGACCCTTTATCCCGAATCGCATTTCACCACAGTCACCACTTCTCCAAAACCGCACATCTCATTTGCAATTGCCGTCGTCGCCACCCTCATCTCCGATAGTGAAACCCCACACTTTCATTAGAAGACCCTCTCTTTCTCTCTATTTTATCGTATTCCCTCTAGAAAGATACCCATTAGTCGAGATGACACCAGAACCGCTACACCACCATCATACCATCTCCCCTTCGCTGGAGCACTGCACCACCATTGCACCCACATCTCACTCCTCCCATGTTCTGCCTCCTTTCGCCTTCAACCACCTACATTTGTTACTCTAACAATGATTTTCACCTCCGTTACTGCTAAACCAACAACAACTGCCTTCAGGTGCTTACTTCCTCCTTCAACAAACCATAGATGCTTCCCTGACTACATCTAATAACCCTAAATATTATACCTCTACATCTAAAATCCCAAATTCGAAAACCCCAAATCCTAAAAACCTTGATCTAAAAACCCAGGTATTTTGGAAGAAAAGCCTAACAGAGAGACGGGGGAAGTCAGGTATTCCTTTTTTCTTGTTGTTTATATTTGATTTTGATTTGAATATCATCTCTTTTTAGTTTTGATTCTATTAGATTCTTACTTCATCAAATCAACTCCACAAAGTTGTCCTCTTAAGTAGCGATTAAAGATGATGAAGAAGAAAAAGTGATCATTTGCTACCTCTTTCGGACCAGCAACGAAACCCTATAGGCATTAGCAAAGTATGATTATTTCATTCATGTTGTTTCATTTTTAAGCTTCACGGCATGTAATCTCCCAAAGTTCCCATTTTTTAAAAATCATATTAAATTTCCTTTGATTAGAAATCTTGAAGTTGATTTCTGTATTTTCAAGAAAATTAGGTAAATAAGAGATGGAGGTACCAGAGGCAGTGGTGGTTATGGTGGCAACATCTACTGATCTACCTCAAGGCTTATGACTGGAAATGGTAACATAAGTGTTTGTGGAGGTGATGCATTTGTCAGCTGTGGCAGAGGAAGAATTTCTACTGAAATTTTTAGCAAGCTCGTCGTCCATGGTAGGTTCTTACCTTGTTTTTTTATTAATAAATTTGCATTGAGTCCTTCTATTAATTATTACAGAAGGTAATAGTGTAGAATTACCACTCAACACCACTAATCGTTGTCGCCGCCCCTCCTTCTTTATTCACTAGGAACCATGTCACCCTTTCATCGTCTTTTTCTTAATATCATAGATGATTTGGTTTTGGTTGTATAAGGTACTATGTGTGTGCGTGCTATGCAGGCACCAAAGTTGTGTTTAACATAAATGGAAGCTTAATTATGTTGGGTAAGATCTGTATTGCTGTAAGTTCATTTTTTCCTCTCTTGCAGATCGCAATATGGTATGGTGGAGTTGGTAAACTACAACAAAAAGGATGATAGCTGAGGTAAGGTTTTAAAACTTTTGTTATCGCCGTACCCTTTAAAACTTTTGCTAATTTTACCCTAATCACATTTTCGGGTTCCCTAAACATAGATTTCATAAATATATTGAGGTTTTTCTTTGTGTTGATTTCTATGTTTTTGTATATAGCTTTGTATAGTGACAAAGACCCAACAAGCCCATCAGACCTAGGCTTTTCATGATGCAGTAAAAGAAAACCAGGTTGAAAGTACTCACTCAATACTATATATTATTTACCTTTTCATCTATTAGATAATGTTTTTTTGTATATTAGTTTTTTTACCATATGGATTCATTTCTATTGTAGTATTTTTATAGTTTCTCCCAGATAACCTGGCTCAAAGTCTTACGATCTTGAAGCCTTTTGATTTTTTGGGTCGGTTTATTGATATTTTGACTTTGCTTTTGAAATTAAAGGTACTTTCTAATTTACCGTCGTTGAGTGATGCTTGAATATTATCTAAATTGTTTCATATAATGGCGTTTGCAAATTAACAATTAAAATCAATTGGCCGAAGTAAGAAGGTAGGCTGGGCCATAGTCTTCATTCTTTGGAATATGCTAGAATTATCTTAACTTTCTAGCAGTTGGGTATTTCATTGACCAATACTGAAGTGTGTAGTCACAAAAGTAATCACCGACAAACCAAAGATAATAATTGGTAACAATAAAAAATCAATATAAAGATCTTCTCAACAATTTAATGGTGCCAAGTAATGATTTATTAAAGTTTGACTACTTATAGCAAATACGATTTTGAATCAACATCTTTATGTGAGTTAAGGTATGTTAACCCTTTTTTAGATGACTACTTTCCGCATACTATTATGTTTTTTTATTGATTTTTAAGAAATATAAATTGGTTGCTTAGTTCTTGTAACAATATCGAGAGTGAATTGCATTTTGGGTCCTTTTTTGAGGATTTTGTAATGTTTTGGATGCGTGGTTCAAGTTAATTAATTAATTTGGGACCAAAGTTTCACAAAGCAATTATTTTCAAGGATAAAACAATCATTTTACTTGGAGATGGAATTAAGGTAAGGAGATGAAATTGGATCAAAGTTGTAAGTATTCATGACTGATTTCTCTGTTTTCAAGGAAGAGATGTCATTAATGGGAAAAGTGGTATTGAATAGGTAGAAAGTGACTCTTTTTGTGTTGACATGGACTATAGGTGAGATCATGCTTCTCTACTCAATGTGGTATGTTGTGACATTCCCATTTTTCTCGGCCAGAAAAGACCGATTTTGTTTATGCTTTATAAAAATCAGAGTACTTTTTTTAATAAAAATGTTGCGGAATTTGTTCCCAGTAAAACATGATAAATACGTTATCAAAGCATTTCCGAAGAAATGTATTTTTATTTATTTTAAAGCATTTGGGATGTCATTGTCAATACATAAACATAAACATAAACAGAACTTACATTCATTTACACTAGTGATCTACACCTCTTTAATCTCTCAGTGTAATGTAACTTCGTATCGGCACCTGTGATTCAAATAAGCTTGAGTGGGTCAAGTTGGGAAACCTGGTGAGTACATAGGGTTTTCAACCCATAATAATATAATTATTATGTTTAAACATCAAACAATCAAATCAATTACCCATCCCCATTATCTTTATTACTCTTAAGGATCTACCCTAAGAATTAGCTATTCCTCGTTCATTCATTCCTAAGGATCATCATAAGGAATCAGTACGAAATTCATCGTTGCCAATGACACAACTGTCAATGTTATCTATTAAGCACAACTACCAATATTACCATTTAGGCACAGCTGCCAGAATTGTGACATTCTCTATGAGGCGCAGCTGCCGATATTATCCCTTAAGCACAGCTGCCAGGGTTGTGATGTTCTCTATTAGGCGCAGCTGCCGATACTATCCTTAGATCGCAACTGCTAAGATGTTTAGAGTACATTGTAGATCAAAAACATTTACAGGTTGTGGCACAGCTGCCAATGCTCATCTATAGGGTACTAAGTCCATTGTTGCCAATGTTCACATATAGGGCACTATGTCCATACTGCCAATGTTTCTCTATATCAGCTTTCATCCCTCATCATTTATCTACCCATGTTTTACCCAACATATTTTGTAGATATAAAATACATATACAGTTTAAATCATTTAAACATGTATAAAATCGTTCATCCAGCATAGATAGCAAGTATACAGATAATATGCACACATAACACGTAATTTATATAAAATACTTCATATATATGTGTAAGATGAAAGTAACTATGCACTCACTTGTCAAAGTGATGATTCCAAATTCGGGCAGCGCTTCGCTTCTAACGATTCTATTTTCCTTCGACGAAACCTAACATTATTATCACTAAGTTTTAGTCTAATCTTTATTGAGACTAATTATTAGTCTAGATTCAT